CGTCCGTAAAGTTTCTTTAGTTTAGCATGNAATAGCAGCCCGTATCGAGCTTTCAGTACTTGCAGTNTGAGCCAGTGTGGCATCTTTGCGTTACTAAGGAAGGAATTGCTAGATTTGGGGTCTAACTTCGAGGCGGTGTTACGCCATTTTTCAGTTAGTATTGCGTCGTTGGTGTAGCCTGCGAAGGTACCTTGCTGGAGACGCTTTTAAAGGCCTTTGTTCAGGTCACTAACGTAAAGACCAGTGTCGCGTTGTTTCAGCCAGAACACTTTATCGAACGGGGCATTGTCGGCCTTTTCAGTAAATGTTGCTGGGTTCTCACCTCGTGCGACAGATGTTGCTCCTTTGTCAGCTTTGTCATTACCATCAAGGCCTGTGTGCGATTTCACTTTCAGGAAGTGAACGGTTATGTTCTGTTGGGCGCATTCGTACAGTAGGTCGGCGATGTCCATTAGTAAGGCTTTGTGCTTGGAAATATGCAGTTTACTCGGATCGTTTACTGCTCTTTTGATAAGATCCAGTGAGGCTTGCGAGTCAGTGGCAATTGTTAAGGTGATGTTCACCGCCCTTTGGGTTCATAGAGCTACGCGTATTGCTGCCAGCTCTGCCCGTTGAATGGTATTCGTACATCCTTCGCCCGCTGGGTCGATGTGCAGCGTTTTTCCGGTGGGTCCACAGTATGCAGCCGCACCCAACTTGTTCTGGCCGTTGTTTTCAGCCGATTTAATACAGCTACCGTCGGTCCAGATGATAGTGTGCGGGTCCATCCTGAGTGGTACTTGTCCGGGAAAAGCTGCTGTCAGGCGCTGCTGGAGCATCTGTCCGTCCGAGTGGGGGACTGTGGCGGTTGGTCTTGGTCTGGGCGGCTTTGAGGCATTCATCTTGCGCATGACCTGAGCGACTTTGTTTGGGTAGGGTCGTTGGGTGCCGACGCAGTGAGTACCCGCGGACATGTCCCGCAGTCGCAGATGTTTTCTGGGGAGGCCGGTGGCGTCCATCGCTTCGAGTTCGGATAGGAGCACCTTCATGGATCGGGCGTTTAGTCCTCGGATCGCCGTGTCGTTGGCCACCACGACGAGGTCCAGGCCCCCCTTGTAGTCAGGGGTGGGGTCGTCAGTTCCAGTCCCGCTGGTAAGCTTGCACGCTTCACCACGGCTCAGCCGCGCGAGCTGGAAGACATACGGTGTGTTGTGTAGCTGCGTATGGGGGCCAGTTCGGCTGTGCGGGACAATGAGTAGTGTGGCGGTGGGCAGTGCGGATGTCATAGTGTGTGATGCGCCTGCGACTGCCCACATTACTGCCTTCTTGACACTGGTGGGGTCAGGGTTCGGGTGTGCTATCGAGAGGCCTGTAAATGGCTGAGAGAATGCATCTATGTTTGCCCCGAAGAGTTGGTCTTCTGCGTGGACACTGAAGTAGTATTGCACCTCTTCACCGCAGTTAAGCGGGGATGAGAACCTTTCGACGACTGGGCCGGCATCCAGGGCGTGCAGGGCATCAATCAGTGTACGGCGCAGTTTTCTGCTCATGGTCGCCTGCGACCGTGGCGGGCCTTTCGTTTCGCGCCCGTCGGGGTCCTTTCCGTACCGCAGGAGAAGGCGCGCGACGTCCTCGGCGAAGCCGCCCTGGGAGGACAGGCTTCTGTGCACCTCCGGGTAAGTGTCGATCGTGTGTTGATATCGCATTCTGAGGGTCTCCAGGCGTTGCAGGGTGAGGGTGCCCACACATTTCCCTCTCGGGTCGTAGACGAAGGCCGTGTTCCCTTCGGTCGAGCCGCCCTCTCTGGTTAGCAGACCTAGCTGGATTCGATAATTTCCCGTGGGGCGCGTGTCCATGTATGGGTTGCACGGCGCAGTCTCAAAGGTAGTGTTTGCTCGAATAAGGCGTGCCCGCTGGGTCTGCTCCGAGGGGGGCGGGTTCCATCGGCCTTGCCTCTGAGGGTTCGTTAGATTGCTGTCCTTGGGTTTGGGGTATCTCGAGAGGGGGTTCACGCTCTGCGACCTCGTTTGCTCGTACCTCGCCATCGCCGCTGGTCCGTTGGGTAACCTACCGAGTTGTGCGGCGGGGATATCTGACGGTTCCCATACCGCTCTGCGGAAGTGGCGGTCGATCCGCGTGCCGTAAAGACCTGTCACTGGTAATAGCTGTCTGGGCACGTATCCCATGCTGGTGTATGCGCCGACGATAGATATCGGGGTGATAGTGTCTTTCCAGCGAACCGTGTAGTACTGTTCGTGGGTTGCGGTCGTATCGGCCCCGATTTTCTGTTTCTTGGGAGGTTTAACGTTTGAGGGGACGATGCGTTTTGTGATAGGGCCCGCGAGTACTTCTACGATGTCCTCTACATCGTTGTATAGGTCATAAACTATCTGTTGTTGCCCCGTTGTGTCCTTTGCCTGGCCTTTTCCAGGCTTCCAGGGTATCCTGTCCTCCAGTATTTGATCGCGGGCGACTTTCCATCGAGGTCTCCACCATTGCGGGGTGAGGTGCTCTGGTGGCTTCGGTGCCCCCGGTAGCGCTCTGGCCGGTTCGGGCGCAGGCGGATCACCGGCGTGGTCCCTGTCGGCGGTGTTCGGACCGGCCCTTGCCGCCCCCGCGCCTGCGCCGGCGCGGGGGTTACGTGGCGCTACTGGCGTACAGTCGAGTCCCTTTTCTGCAAGGTACACCAGCACTGGGTTTGGGGTACCGATTTCTCCTGTCACGGGGTCATGCCGATGCTTAGAGTGCGACGGGTTTGCCGGCTTGGGCGCGGTCGCGGTCCCTGGACGATAGGCCCAGGGGGGTTCCCTAGGTTGGGCACACTCCTACGGGTGTCTTTTCGCAGAGCTGTCATGACGCGTCTCGTTTCCATATAGGATGTGCATTGCGGGGCTGGGTCGCGAAGTTGCGCGCTGTGTATAGCTGCACTATCTGTTCCCACGTTACTGTTGTCACAGCGTGTATTGTTGTTGATGAAATCCTGTTGCCGCTGGTGGACGGATCTTGTGCGTTTCCGTCCTGTGCAGGCTGATTCCGCAGGGTGGCTCGGCGGCGCTGGTGGGTCACCCTCCATGTCGTCTGGCTCTGCGCGGGGATGGTGTGGCTTCTTCGTGGTCGTGCTCCACACGACAGGTGTGTCACGGCGTACATGTGGGTCGAGGGATGGTGCTAGTATCGGGTTGGGGAGACTTGATTTGTGCCGGAGGCCGGTGTACGGAGGGTCACTGGGGATCTCGCGGAGGCGTCTGTCTTCCAGAGGCAGCGCGGACGACCAGCGACGTGGGTCATGTGCCTTCGTGTGTGGAGCTTGGGGGCATTGGGCACTTATCGCTAGGCCTAGTCGATTCAAGGCGATCTTGTGCCGGTGCTGCACCTTGCCCCGGGGGAAAAGCTTCTGAAGATCAGTGGTGGTGATGAGGTGTTGTGTTGTGTTCCTGTCTATGAGCGCGTGCATGTCTAGGCCCAGCTCTGTCAAGGGGAGCAAGCATCTGTACGGCAGGGTTTCGGACTTTGTGTCCTGCCGCGCGTTGACGGCGGAGGCGGCCGTCATAA